GGGACCTTCGGTGGAGCTCCCTATGTGGCCACGAAGCGTGCGAGGGGTGTGCCGACATGAATGTGCGGGGCGCATGCGGGCACACCCACTGGGACCTTCGGTGGAGCTCCCCACGAGGCCACGAAGCGTGTGAGGGGTGTGCCGACATGGGCGTGCGGGACGCGTGCGGGCGCACCCACTGGGACCTTCGGTGGGGCCTTTTTGGGGGCCACGAAACGTGCGAGGGGTGTGCCGAAATTTGTGTGCGGGACGCATGCGGGCACACCCACTGGGACCTTCGGTGGGGCCCCCTGTGGGGCCACGAAGCGTGCGAGGGGTGTGCCGAAATGGGCATGCGGGACGCATGCGGGCACGCCCACTGGGACCTTCGGTGGGGCTCCCTATGTGGCCGCGGAACGTGTGAGGGGTGTGCCGAAATAGGTGCGCGGGACGATGCGGGCGCACCCACTGGGACCTTCGGTGGAGCTCCGTATGGGGCCACTAAACGCGTGAGGGGTGTGCCGAAATGGGTGTGCGGGACGCATGCGGGCATGCCCACTGGGACCTTCGGTGGAGCTCCCTCTGGGGCCACGAAACGCGCGAGCAGTGTGCCGACATGGAAATGTGCGTGCGGGGCGCATGCGGGCACGCTCATCGGGATTTTCGGCGGAACTCCCTATGGGGCCACGAAGCGTGCGATGGGGTGTGCCGAAATGGGTGCGCGGAGGAGGACGGGGAGGAGGCAGCGGGAGGAAGGATGGAGGGACGCGGGGCGCTGACTCTCCAAAACGAGGACCCGACACCACAGGATGGTTGGTAAAAAAACTGAGTGGCAAGGTGCCCCGTGCGATTGTGGCTGCGAAGCGCCGCAATTCGAGCAGGCGGCGACAACTGGGGCGACGCTCTCACGACAGTCCCACTCTTAGCCGCCCGGGGAACCAGGCCGAGCTTATAAACTTGGGCACTGCACCACTTCGCGACGGCCAACAAACCCTCACTCTCACAGATGCGTCTGTCAACCCATTGGAAGGCGGAGTCGTCCATGAGGGCTCTAGAATGACTGCGCGCGTGAATCCTGCGAATATCGGCACTGACTCTACTGGGAAGCACGCGCATCATGGTGTTCGCGTGGCTGCAGCCCGCTAGAAGCCCTTGCTGAGAGACTACTTGCGGGGGGACTAACCCAAACGCATGGATGACCCGATGGCGCCGATCGGACGCGCGGTTCATCCACAACATGCGTAACGGGTATCCTACAAACTTCGCTTCGGACAGGACCTTAGCTACGATGGTGCACTCGCAGCACTTATACATATCGAGAAACACGCTGACATAATACCCCCCGCCCCCCCCCCGAAGCCGCGGCCGCCTCCGCCCCAGGGTCATGGTCAAACGCCGCGTCTGAGGAACACGCCCCTGGCCCCTTCCCCCAGAGAGACGGGCCGGGATGGGGGCGCCCCCAGGTCTGATAGAGCTGCATTCGAGACCGCCCCGAGGGGCGGACCAGGGAATTGAGCAGCGCCATTAAACGCTGGCCCTCAGGTGGTTTCGGAGCCCGAACTAAACCGAGTCTCTATGCGACTAGCAGGCCACGCCAAGAGGCGCTCACACGCCTCGAACATCATGCCGATCGTGGACAGGCCGTGCTCCGACAGGGCAAGCAACGTCGGCGGGTTGAGGCCGAGCTGCCCAAGCGCCGTCTTGATAGGGAACAACCTCATTGCCCGCTTCAGCGTGCCCGCGTCGATAGGAGGGAGCTGCCCACGCTGCTGGGCGCCGCTCGGCAGGTGCACCTCGCTGCAGTCGCGCGTGCTCCAGGCGCCCCTCCGCTCCGACACGCAGCCGCCCGCCATCTGGAACGGCCGGGGCCGCGCAGTACGGTTGGCCAACTCCTGCAGCTCCTTGGTCCCGGAGAACTCGTGCGCAGCCCCCATGCCATCTGAAAAAAGCCTCGCGCGCCCAGGCGGCCCACGCCTTGTTCGATTCAATGGGAAGCCCCTTCAGGCGGGGATCAACCGCATCCAGCAACTTCTGAACCTGCGCATCTAAATCGTCTCAGGCGAAGCTGGGCGGGATGCCGATTAGGCGCGAGTGCGGACCTTGAACACGAGCGCGGACCTTGAACGCGAAGCAGTGGAGAAAGTAGAACTGCTTGGACATGGCCATCGGCCCAGCCTCGCTCGGATGGGTTGACTGTTGACTGGCTAGTGGACAAAGCTTGGCCCGCGCTGAGCGGGCGCGCCTCAGCCAACGGCCAAGAATGCGCCATGCCTGCACGAGCTGCGGCTGAGCAGGAGCTAAGGGGAGAGTGTCTCCACGTGTAGGGCGGGGGCCCAGCGCGACCGATATGCCTGCGCCGCCCAGCGCGGTCCATGACATCGTTGCGGTCGCATAATTAACTCTGTTTCGAAACGTGCCGTGGTAGAGCCCCGACAGCTCAGCTGGCCGCGTCCAAGTCGGACCTCGCACACTGAATGTGAGCCTGGACCTGCAGCCATTCCACGACGGGGGGCTAGCGCGCGCAACCGATCTTAGGTGCGACGGGGAACTGCTCGGGCTCGTCGGGGGTCCTGCAGCGCATGCTCGACGGAGACAGGCGGAGGGGCAGGGGCACAGGCCGATGTGGAAAGAGCTCGGTGCCGACGTCGACCTCAGCTGGGTCTGAGAAATGAATCAGCTCCTTGGACGCAAAGAAGAAGTCACTCACCGTCCTTGGGAGAGACTGCGCGCGCGTTGGGTCATCTGACGAAAACCGTCGACCCCCCGCTGCCTGGAGACATGGGTCGAGAACATCTCCTTCCATGTTCCAATCGCCACCAACAACCCAAGACATCTGCAAATCGGAGAGCCGATACAAGTACGCGGTGACAGCGCTCACAATGTCGAGCTTGAGTTCATTGAGGCCAGCTCCAACGATCAGGTACACGGATACCATCACTATGCCACCAGGCCTACCCCAGTTGACCAGGCCAGCGCCTCTTCTGGCAGGGGAAGCCACATGGCTGTCTAGCAACGGAGGCGCACGGACAAACGCGCGACGAGGGGCAAGGACCGCCGCGCTGTAATCGAGCCTCGAATCAGACACTGCTTCGGCTTATCCTGGCTGTTAGCCCGGCGTCGCCCTGACCTAACAATTTCAGATCGATCACCTGGTTGGGAAATGGGTTGAGACGAGGGGGCCGCGGCCACTGGCACTCTGGCACCTGACCACGGCGACGAACAATCTGGCAACTGAAACACTGGCCTCTGCGGGCCATCTCCAGCCGCCACTTCGTGAAATTGAAGCCGATGTGCTGGCGCTGACCTCGCTGCTCTGCCCGAGGCCGCAGCGGGCCCCCGACTGCCCGGGGCGGCTGCGGCGCATGGGCGAGTGCAAGAGGTCACGCCGGTCATTGAACCTCCAGCCCGCGCCGCCACCGTCGCGCCGCCAGCCGCGTCTGCCGGCGGGGCCGCTGGAGTCGAAACGCCGGCAGTGCCCGTCAAGATGGCGCCGCCCTGACGCCGCGGCATGGCCTGGGCGGGCGCCGCCAGACCCAGCAACAGCAGAAACATGACCACCATCTTGCCGAGTCTTGGCGCGCTTAGCGTCAGCGGCCTCACTGAGGCGCTTGGCCTGGGCTCGCAGCTCGGCCTCCGCTGCTGGAGGCTCTTGACCGAACGCCTCGCGGTAGGAGGCCTGCGTATCTTCGAGGTCGCCGTCGTCGGGCGGCGCGGCCACGTCCTCAGCGCTGTGCTGGCCTACCCTCTCAGCCCCATCGGCAAGCGCCCGCGCAGGAGGCTCTGGCGGGGCTCTCATTCCAGCCGCTGCAGCAGAGTCGAGCTTGCGTGGCGTAGTTTCTCGAAGTTGTCCTGGACCGCCGAAGCCAGCTCAGGGCCCGCGCCGATCGCACCGAGCATCTTGCCAAGCTCTGCCGCCGACATGTCCAGGGCGGGAATCGTGGCCCGCAGAGAGTAGACCCCCGCCTCGGGCTGAGGCGCCATAGCGGCTGCAACCCGCCTGGCTGCCTCAGCCTCGACGAGCTCGCGGGAGGTGCCAGCCAGGGCGCGTTCAGCTTCCGCAGTCTTGGACTGGATCTGGGCAGCTTCCTCGCCGAGCTGCTCGACGATGGCCTGCTGCCGCTCCTTCTTCTTCTCTAGCGCGGCGCACCTGTTGGTGAGCTGGTGCAGCTGCGCCCCGATCGGTTTCTCCGAAAGAGTCATCTCGCGCAGCCTAGCTTGCTCGGCGAGCAGGGCTGCCTTACTGTCGAGCAGGACCTGGTCCTGCGCATCGCCGAAGGCCTTAAAAGGAATTGGTGGCCCTCTCGAGCGCAGCCTTGTCCGCCGCCGCGGAGGTGGCGCCGTCGTCGACCTCCAAGGCTGCACGCTGACCTCCGCCAGTGGGTTTGGCAGACTGCGTTTTCTTGAGCTTGGTCGCAAGAGACTTGAGCTCACGGTCCTTCGCCTCGACAGTCTTCCTGAGCTTGTCTGCCTCAGAAGCTGCACGCCGTTCAGCCGCGACCGACGTCGGAGGTGAACCTGAACCTTTGGTCTTGGGCCCGAAGAAGCACACACCCTCGTCCTGGCCACGCGAACGACATTGCTTGAGGTCCGCTCTGTTCTACCACCGTTGACCTGTCCGCTCATCTGTGCAGTGCTTGCACAGCGACGGCTGCGCCTGCGAGATACGGCGCTTCTGGTGTCCATTCATAGACAGAGAAAAACGCAGACGGGGAGCTAGCGCACTAGGAAGTAAACGTAATGTGAGTGTTTCCTGCCTGGGCAAGCACCTGTGGAGACACGAAAGCTGTGACGGCCGCAGACCCCTCTCGCCAATGCCAAGTCTGGGCAATCGCCCAAATGGCTACGGAGGAGGAGGAGGAAGAGGAGGAGGAGGAGGAGAGGAGGAGGAGGAGGAGGAGGAGGAGGAGGAAGAGGAAAGGGAGGAAGGGGAGGAGGAGGAGGAGGATGCCCCCGAACCCGACTCCTACGCACGCCTCTCCGAACCTAGGCATTGCCCAGGACCCGCGCGCTCGCGCACCCGCCTCTGCGCCGCCACCCGCGCTGGCGCCGCGGTCTCGGCGCGGCCCCCCCGGGCGGTGGCCGCCGCGCCGGCGCCCAGGCGGCGCAGAGCGCGGGACGCGAGCCGCCGGTGCATCGTTCCCTGCGGCGGGGCACCGCGGCGGCGGCGGCGAGGAGGAGGAGGAGGAGGAGGAGGGAGGAGGAGGAGGAGGAGGAGGAGGAGGAGGAGGAGGAGGAGGAGGAGGAGGAGGAGGGAGGGGAGGAGGAGGCGGAGGAGTAATAGAACGAGGATAACGAGGAGGACAGGGGGTCGCCGTCCCTCCTCGCCCTCTGTGGCTCAAACTAGAGGCCTCCTAGATGGGTCGGAGTAGATGGGGTCGGAGGATCGCGCCGCGCCGTCGATGCATCGGCGATGCATCGCCCACGTCGGCGACGTATCGGCGACGTCGGCGTAGAGTCGTCTCTGGCAGTTCGATCTCGCTGCGCTGCCGCGCGAAGCCGCCACCGCGCTTGGGGGGCTGGCAGGGAGCGCCTGGGGAGCTGGACGGACCCTGATATCCTGGTCTCTCAACTCTTCCGAGCCGGACGTGTTTGCCAAACTTCGGGCCCCAGGGCCCGCACATATCGATCCGGCTCGAGAAACTGCGCGGGAGAACGGGGGCCAGTGCTCTGGTCGTGGTTTGTTGCATGGTTGAAGTGTTTGGCAACGTCGGATTTCAAGGATCGCCCAGGGGGGGCTGGCGGTTTGTGTGGCAACTCATGGGATTCCCACCAGCCCTCTGGGCGTAGGTGGTCTAGGGCACTTCCTCTTCCAACCCCCTTCTTCCCCCTCGGGGAGGGGTCTATCACTGTTCCCTACAAATGAACCTCCCCTCCCCCGCCCGGCCGGCAACCAACCCGGAACCATGCGCACACCATGAGGGCCCCCCCCCATCATCCCTGTCAAAGAGCAGTACAAAAGACACTCTGCCTGCAAATTTGTCGGAGCATGCGCAACCAACCCGATGCGGGCCCCCCCACCATCCCGGTCAAAAAGCAATACACAATACACGTTGGGGCAAAGTCTGGAGTCATGTTCGTGAAGCCCGCGGGCACTTTATATTGTTTTCGACATTGACGGCGGGGGTGTCAGCATATGGCCTGCTGCGCGCAGGGCTACGATCCCTGACAACCGCACAATACAAAATGCACCTCGCGGCTAAATGTGGATGGTGCGCGGCCACCCCGCGATCATTGTCAAGTGGGTTTTGTCAGGGACGGCGGGGGTGGTGGCGTATGGCCTGTTGTGCGCAGGCCCACCATACACAATGATGGGCATTGGTTTTCGACAGGGATGGTGGGGGCCGACATGTTTCCCGATGTGTGCTGTCACGTGTGCAGGAGCACCTGACAGACTCTGCACGTGCCCTGGACGTGGCGAGCCTGGCGCGGCTGGAAGGAGCATCTGGCGCACTAGGCGTGCCTGGCACGCTCGGGACCCAGGGGTGCCTGGCGAGTGGCGCGCCTGGCACGCGTGGCGCACCTCGCCCCAGCGTCGCGCATATGGGCTCGGCTTTGGCCCCCAGTAGCTGCCCATCAAAAGACGATCGCGGAACATGCTGAAACTCGGGTGTGGCGTATGTTTTGGGAGGGCGGGTGGGGGTGAGCTAGACGGCGTGCTATCTGGATGGTGTCTTGACCCCTCCCCCGACCCCCTCCCCTGGGCCTGGACGGGGGGGGCGCGACGCGTTGGAGCGTCCAAAACGGCCTCAGCGAGGGAACCAAAATCATTATTGATACGAATATTCTGGCCCCATTTGGGCCTCTTGGGGGGCGGCGCTAATGAAATCTCCCCTCATGTTAGATCGATGTCCTCTAATACGGCCCCAAAAGCGCCCCCAAGGCTCCCAAGAGCGTTTCAAGAGGGCCCCAAGAAGTGCCCAGGAGGCCCCAGGAGGCCCCAAGAGGCGTCCACGAGGCCTCCAAGAGGCTCCGGAGAGACATCCCAAGAGGCCCCAAGAAGCTCCCCGAGGCACCCAAGACCCTCGAAGGGGCCTGCAGGTCCGCCAAGAGGCCGCCAAGACGCTCTAAGAGGCTCCTCTGCGTGCTGCCCACTTCCCTGATCGAGGCAACTCCTCGGGGCATCGTTTCTGGATGGGCTGGTGGGGTTGAGTTTTCCGTCGCGGCCGCAGGCGAGGGCGCCAGCAGCGTCAGAGGTCGGACGGGCTACGCGCGAGCCTAATTGCCTAGCGCAGGGGGGCCGACGGCCGAACCTGAGCTGCCTAAGCTGCCTAAGCTGCCGGGCTGCGCGAGGAGGTGTCAGGAAGCGGGACAGGCTGGTGGTGTTACGTTAAACGTCTAGAATTGTATGTATATTGCTGGCTCTTGCGTATGATCGCTAACCGACGCTGGTCGACGCGAAATCGACGCTACATCGGCTCTGTCTCACCGATTACCAGACGCTACCGCACGCTGATGCACTCTGAAAGAACGGCTGTCGAGGACATACGAAGGCGCGTACAAGTTCCTACCGAAGGCGGGGAGGGCTTTGAGAGCTGGACGAGGAGGAGGAGGAGGAGGAGGAGGAGGAGGAGGAGGAGGAGAAGGAGGATCATCGACGTTCGAGGCTCCATCGGCGAGAGGAGGATGAGGAGGAGGAGGAGGAGGAGGAGGAGGAGGAGGAGGAGAGCGAGGGAGGGAGGGAGGAGGCTCCTGACCCCTCCTCCCTCAGGGGATCCATGTGAGAAGCCCTCGACATCCCCTGCCCATGGCGATGGCGACGTTTCTCCCTCTATATTATCGACAGCTGCACCTGCCCCCCCTTCCCAAGGGAGTAGCTTCTCGCCCCGGATCCGTTCCTGGTGGCCCCACGGCCCACCCCCCTCAGCCCCCCTCTCCCCCCCCCTTTCCTCCCCCCCTCTCCCCTCCTCCTCCTCCTCCTCCTCCTCCTCCTCCTCCTCCTCCTCCTTCCTCCTCCTCCTCCTCCTCCTCCTCCTCCTCCTCCTCCTCTCCCCCCCCCGTGCGCTCCGCGGCACGACCGCGACGTGGGGGGCGGCTGCGCCGCCCGAGTGCCGGCGCGGCGGGCGTCCCGACCGCGGCCGGCGGGCGCAGCCGGAACGGCAGTGCTTCCTGTCGGAAGCTGGGCGAGGAAAGCTAAAACTGTGGCTGCTAAAACGGCCCTCCCGGAAGGAAAACAACAACTTCCCGGAATGAGGCGCGGCACGCGAAACAGCCAACGGGCTTCCCGGAGGACGATTTTAGCAGCCACGGATTTGGCAGCCCTTGCCCAGCTTCCGACCCTTGTCGGGCCCTGGGCATCCTGGCCCTGGACGCGGGCCCCCATGCAGAGGCCCGGACCCCTTCTCAAGGACCAGGTCTGCAGCCCGAACCGTCTTTCGGCGCCCCCGGGGCCTGGCCGAAGGTACTCCAGATTTTGCAATAAAAGGGAGGGGGTCTGGACCCTCCAAGACAAGCCATTTCAGACCCCCCCCGTGGGAGAACCCTCCAAAACACCGTCCCCAGACCCCCCCAGGCCCTCCAAGATAGCCTGGAAGAGACCCCCCCCGAAATGAGACCCCTCTCCCTTTATTACGAAATCTGGAGTACCGGAGCACCTCCCCTCACGACCCTCTCGCGGCGCGGAGGCGTGCATCCTGGGCCTGGGAAGGCGCTTCGGGTGCCCCGCGTGCGGTTCCCCCGTGTGCCCCGCGCCGGCGGCGACGGCATTCGCGAGCGCGCGGGGCTTCCGCACGGACCCCCTGCTCCTGGCCGTGGACCGCGCGGGGTGGGCACCGGGCCTCTCGGGGGGGGCGCCCACGTCTGAGGGTGGCGGGGGGCTCGAGGGCAACCAGGGGAGGCGTCTTCATTTTAGACTTTGGCCAGTTCACGTGCCTGGCAGGTCCCCCCCCGCCTCCCCCCCCCCGCCGCCTCTTCAGGCAGTCCTGGGCCCAAGGGGCGCGCAAGCGACTCCCGGATTGCGGGAGAGTGGATCCCCTGTTTCGGGCCTCGCCAGGCCTCCCCCCCTCCCTTTTGTAAATCCGCCGACCCCTTGGGGTCACGGCGTGTGGGATGCTCCCCCCTCCCCGGACCCCTCCCCCGGGAGCCCGGTCCTGCCAGTTTGGAAGGGGGGGGAGGGGGGGCAAAGGCCTCATCGGGCCCCACGAGGCCCCAGAGGGCTCCAAGCAGCCCCCACGACGGCCCAAGAGGCCCCCGAGACGCCCAAAGGTCGGCCCAAGACGCCCAGGGTGGCCCCAAGAGGACCCCAGAAGCCTCCCAGACGTCCCAGGAGGCCTCCAAGAGCATTCCCAAGAGGGGCGCTATAGGCCAAAATCGTCGAATTCCGATTGGAAAACATTCATTTTCACCATACGCGACTTTTCAGCCTTCACGGCGTTGAAGACGGCCCCAGGGTCCCACAAGAGGCGCTCGAAACGGCCCAATAGGGCGCCAAGACGGCCCAAGAGGCTCTCAAGACGGCCCAAGAGTGCCCCAAGACGGCCCGAAGAGGGGCCCCAAAGGGGGAGCCTGAACCAACAATCCGAGCCGTCCGCCCAAAAACGTCCCCGGGGGGGCCCAAAAGGCGCCCAACAGGGCCCATGAGGCCCCCAAGAGGCCCCCCAATAGGCCCCAAGAGGCCCCCCAAGAGGCCACAAGAGGCCCCAAATAGTCTAAAAAGAGGCCCCAAGTACCAATTGAGGCATGTAACTTCTAACCCGCAACCCAGGCACCAAGGATCTCAGGCCGACAACCAAGGCACGGTGGCGGGATGGGCCGAAGGCCACTATGTCCGCCGCCCCCTGTGGTCTTGCCACAGGGGTGCACGGCGTGCTGGATGTTTCAGGTTTAGGTTTTGGTTCTTTTTCTAAAAGAACTCCCCAGTGGGCTTCGGCCCGTCCCGCCGGCCACCCGCAAGTTTCCGAAAATCCATCTGTCAATGCCTTTGTTGCCCCAACTTGGCCCCAGATGGCCTCCAAGACGGCCAAGATGGCCCAAGATGGCCTCCAAGATGCTTCCAAGACGGCCAAGATGGCCTCCAAGACGGGTAAGATGGCTCCAAGATGCACCCAAGACGGCCCAAGATGGCCTCAAGATGGTCTAAGACGGCCCAAAAGGCCCGCAAAAGGCCTCCAAGACGGCCCAAGAGCCCTCCAAGACGCCCTCCAG